TCATATTATTGTCATGGGCCAAACAATGATTTGATTGCATGTCCAGGTATTCAGCCCGCATTCTTGACGAATAGACCAACTCGTCAACGCAACGCGGCTTGGTACTGAACGTGTGGAAGGCTGAGATTCGGTGTTCATGCCAGCCAATCTGGCCTCATTGGGCGGACGCTTCGGACGCTCGCACAGGTTGGTAAGTGGCGCTTCTGCCAGGTACGAAAGCACAGCATCAGACCCCCATCTGCCCAACAACTGAATAGTGATGGCATCCAGGCCAAGCCACGCTAGGGCCGCTAGGGTGCGAGCACCTGTGATGCGGAACGTATGGAAATCAGCCATGCGCCTGACAGGTCCTGAACTTGCTGTCCAGCTTGTCGAGCCGCTTCTCTGATAGTGGCTGTGACTCCATCCTTGGTGCGGAACCTTCCGCCCTCCGAAGGAAACAGAGGCGACTGCACATCAGTTGTGCCCAAATTCGACACCTGCCCTTTCAAGACATGATAAGGGCAAATGGGGTATGTGCCCCAAATGCATTGCCATGATCTCCTCGTGCCCTTTGCCTTCCAATCGACCTTCGAAGCAGGCAAATTCAACGTGACGTCCCGTTCGCCAAAGGTCACATCTTACAATTGAATGCCTTCAATCTCCCGCAGCACGAAGAAGGTTGCACACACAATCAACGGCATGGGGTGCCAAGGAGCTCCATCAGTCACCGGAGCCTTCAAACGAGCTGCAACCTTGTACACTGCAATCAGGTCGAATGGTTCCGATCTGGTCGGGCTAGCGAGGCCCCTGAGCACTGATCTCATACATTTTTGCGAATTTCTCTGCAAAAGATCTGTCCAAGGAAAGCCCGCCATGACGTGCGAGTCCTTGATCCTGGAGATATAGTTTCTAAAGGATCTATACCCACCAGCTTTGAAGGACCGGCGTCTCCTCGCCGTACCACAGGGCAGCTCAGCGGGTGTCGGATCCATGGATGGCAGCTCTACTTCTTGTGGCAGCTTTCTAGGGTATCGTGGCCAACAGCAAACCCCACCCACGAGTGTCACCAGCACGATCACTGCTAGTGCCAAGCCCAGGGGATATCTATAAGTATCTCCCTGGGTTTCCAACGTGGGTGTCTAGACCACCAATGCCCTACTAATCCACCCCCTCCCCTGCCAATTTGACAAGGTCGGAGATTGATGTCAAATTGTGGTTGCACTGCCACTTGAACCAAAAGCGCTTCCCACCCTCCCACCAAACACACAAGCTTCATGTTACATCAGTTACATCCACATACAAGCGGTAAATGTTCCATTCCCTAATGTTTGATCAGTTTGATCCATCCCGATCCCAACACCTTCCCATGTGAGTTCTGGAATGCCCTCACCTTCCATCCCAACATTGCGCGCCCCCTGAAAGGTCAGAAAGTAGTGCCTCGGTGCCATCAGCTGGGTTTGAACAGTTTGAACAACAGACTCATTGGTTTCAGGATACTTTTGCTAGAAACATCTAGAAACTATAAATACTATATGTTGTTCCAAAAAAACAATAAACAAGGTAGACAATCAAATACAATCAAATCATGGTGATGTACCAAGCACAGAGAGGATCTTACCAAATGAACACATTTTTTAAACCATAGCCTTGTAACTGTGTTGACAGCCGAAGCTGCCGCCAATGGACTTTGCCACGATAGCAGTCGAGCCTATGCAACCGAAATATTTGAAATATTTTGTACCAATATAAAGGCCATATGGGCAAAACGTTGAAAAGCCTTGGCCCGCCTTGAAATGCCTTGAAGCAACACAGCATCACAGTTAACATTGGATCCAAAAACCACCGACCATCCCCCTGATGCCGGGCTTCCCGAGCCATGGATTTGAAGGTGATGATTCCCTCTAGTGATGGCCCAATGGATAATCCAAGCCCATCTTTTACACCAAGTATAGTAGCCATCTGTGTCCTCCAAGATTTTATGGCAATCCCCAACAGAGATGATCCCTTGGAGCAAGTGTCCATGCTTCGAAAAAACGATGTATTCAAGGACACTATCCTTTTTGGGGCAAACAACTTCTATAACTTACACATGATGTGTCATTGTGTTCCATACAGACATAACATGTATATATATATACACTGTCCACATGTGATATATGAGATATGTACAGATCATTACTGTCATCTCACCGCCACCCATTGTTTCCCTCGATCTCTCGCCGGGCGTCGGCGGCTGCGAGCGCTTCACCTTGTTCCGCAGCAGCATGTCCGGCGATGGCAGGTGGTGCGCGTGGGTGATGCCCGGCAGCTGCAGCGCCGTGTCATTCCTCGGTGGGCACCAGAACGAATGGAACCGATGGGTGGTTGGATGGTTGGGATTTTAGGTCCTGTTTGATGAGATTTGAGGATCCGTTTGGTGGAATTAGTTTTTTTGGGAAGTGTATTTTTCATGGAGTTCAATTGCAATGTGTATATATATACATATACATGTATTTAAATATATATATATATATGTATATATGTATATGTATATATATATATATATGCAGTGCAGGGGCAAAGGGGGCCGAAGCGTGGGTTTCCGACGTTACGCTGTGACGCTCCCGGGGGCGGGTGGCGCTGCGACGCTGCGACGCTGCGACGCTCCGGGGGGCGGGTGGCGCTGGGACGCTGCGACGCTGCCGTTGGGCCAGTGACGCTGCGACGCTGTTGGCGCTGCGACGCTGCGACGCTGCGACGCGGGAGTGACGCTGCGACGCTGTTGGCGCTGCGACGCTGCGACGCTGCGACGCGGGAGCGACGCTGCGACGCTGTTGGCGCTGCGACGCTTCCTTCTGCAAGAGTGCACACGGCGTTGCGTCGCGGCGCGACACGAAAACCCCCATTGAAGATCGTCAATGAATGTAGAAGTTTATATATAACGGGGCTGAAAGAATTCAACCCTTATTGAAGATCGTCCATGAATGTAGAAGTTTAACGGGGGGCTGGGAGAATTAAACCCTCATTGAAGATCTTCGATGAATGTAGAAGTTTAACGGGGCTGGGAGAATTAAACCCTCATTGAAGATCTTCGATGAATGTAGAAGTTTAACGGGGCTGGGAGAATTAAACCCTCATTGAAGATCGTCCATGAATGTAGAAGTTTGACGGGGCTCGGGAGAATTAAACCCTCATTGAAGATCGTTGAATGTAGAAGTTTAACGGGGCTGGGAGAATTAAACCCTCATTGAAGATCTTCAATGAATGTAGAAGTTTAACGGGGCTGGGAGAATTAAACCCTCATTGAAGATCTTCAATGAATGTAGAAGTTTAACGGGGCTGGGAGAATTAAACCCTCATTGAAGATCGTCGATGAATGTAGAAGTTTAACGGGGCTGGGAGAATTAAACCCTCATTGAAGATCGTCCATGAATGTAGAAGTTTAACGGGGCTGGGAGAATCAAACCCTCATTGAAGATCGTCAATGAATGTAGAAGTTTAACGGGGCTGGGGAGAATTAAACCCTCATTGAAGATCGTCCATGAATGTAGAAGTTAAACTGGGCTGGGAGAATTAAACCCTCGTTCAAGATCGTCAGTGAATGTAGAAGTTTAACGGGGGTGGGGAGAATTAAACCCTCATTGAAGATCGTCAATGAATGTAGAAGTCTAACGGGGCTGGGGAGAATTAAAACCTCATTGAAGATCGTCCATGAATGTAGAAGTTTAACGGGGCTGGGAGAACTAAACCCTCATTGAAGATCTTCGATGAATGTAGAAGTTTGAAGGGGCTGGGAGAATTAAACCCTCATTGAAGATCGTCAATGAATGTAGAAGTCTAACGGGGCTGGGGAGAATAAAAACCTCATTGAAGATCGTCCATGAATGTAGAAGTTTAACGGGGCTGGGGAGAATTAAACTCTCATGGAAGATCGTCAATGAATGTAGAAGTTTAACGGGGCTCGGGAGAATTAAACCCTCATTGAAGATCGTCCATGAATGTAGAAGTTTAACGGGGCTGGGAGAATTAAACCCTCGTTGAAGATCGTCAGTGAATGTAGAAGTTTAACGGGGGTGGGGAGAATTAAACCCTCATTGAAGATCGTCAATGAATGTAGAAGTCTAACGGGGCTGGGGAGAATTAAAACCTCATTGAAGATCTTCGATGAATGTAGAAGTTTAACGGGGCTGGGAGAATTAAACCCTCATTGAAGATCGTCAATGAATGTAGAAGTTTAACGGGGCTGGGAGAATTAAACCCTCATTGAAGATCTTCAATGAATGTAGAAGTTTAACGGGGCTGGGAGAATTAAACCCTCGTTCAAGATCGTCAGTGAATGTAGAAGTTTAACGGGGCTGGGAGAATTAAACCCTCATTGAAGATCGTCCATGAATGTAGAAGTTTAACGGGGCTGGGAGAATCAAACCCTCATTGAAGATCGTCAATGAATGTAGAAGTTTAACGGGGCTGGGGAGAATTAAACCCTCATTGAAGATCTTCAATGAATGTAGAAGTTTAACGGGGCTGGGGAGAATTGAACCCTCATTGACGATCTTCAATGAATGCAGAAGTTTAACGGGGCTGGGAGAATTAAACCCTCATTGAAGATCTTCGATGAATGCAGAAGTTTAACGGGGCTGGTAGAATTAATCCCTCATTGAAGATCGTCAATGAGTGTAGAAGTTTAACGGGGGTGGGGAGAATTAAACCCTCATTGAAGATCTTCAATGAATGTAGAAGTTTAACGGGGCTGGGAGAGTTAAACCCTCATTGAAGATCTTCGATGAATGTAGAAGTTTGAAGGGGCTGGGAGAATTAAACCCTCATTGAAGACCTTCAATGAATGTAGAAGTTTAACGGGGCTGGGAGAATTAAACCCTCATTGAAGATCGTCAATGAATGTAGAAGTTTAACGAGGCTGGGAGAATTAAACCCTCATTGAAGATCGTCAATGAATGTAGAAGTTTAACGGGGCTGGGAGAATTAAACCCTCATTGAAGATCTTCGATGAATGTAGAAGTTTGAAGGGGCTGGGAGAATTAAACCCTCATTGAAGATCTTCAATGAATGTAGAAGTTTAACGGGCCGAGGTAGTGTTCAGAGGGGGTCGCTGGCTTGATCTTCGAAGATGCAACATATATTCAAAGGGGGTGGCGGGGCTGATGTCTCAAGGTGCAACGTATTGTTCAGAGGGGGTTGGGGAGTTGATGTCTTGTGATGGTGAAGATGCAACATAGTGTTCAAAGGGGGTTCCAGGGCTACTGTCTCAGCTTGTCCGGTGGCTTCTCGGCTTCTCGGCTTGTCCGGTGGCTTCTCGGCTTCTCGGCTTCTCGGCTTCTCGGCTTGCCCGGCGGCTTCTCGGCTTCGCGGCTTCTCGGCTTCTCGGCTTCTCGGCTTGCCCGGCGGCTCCTCGGCTTCGCGGCTTCTCGGCTTCTCGGCTTGCCCGGTGGCTTCTCGGCTTCTCGGCTTCTCGGCTTCTTGGCTTCTCGGCTTGTGCCGGGCTTCTCGGCTTCTCGGCTTCTCGGCTTCTCGGCTTCTCGGCTTCTCGGCTTGTGTCGTACTTCGCGGCTTCTCGGCTTCTCGGCTTCTCGGCTTGTGTCGGGCTTCTCGGCTTCTCGGCTTCTGGTCGCATTTCTGGGGCCCCTTTTGCCCGTGCTTTGTACTTATGTATGTATATATATATATATGTATATGTATTTATATATATATATGTATATTATATTATATATGTATATACATATATATATATATGTATAAGTATAAGTATATGTATATGTATATGTATATGTATATATATACACATACATATACATATAGATATATATATATATATACACATATGTACATATAGATATATATATATACATATGTATATCTATATACATGATTATATATATATATATGATTATATATATGGATGTGTGTGAATTTGTGTTGATGTTCATCTGTACAGCTCATTTTCGAGGGTTAGATGGCTTTGGCCGCCACAATTGGGGCACCTACAGACGATGTCCGAGCAATCTGAGCTGCCCCAGAAAGTGAGGGGAGACTGCTACCCGAACAGCAAATGGCACTTCAAAGCAGCCTTTTTTGGGAAACCATACCAGAACATGCGGCTTAAGCTTTGAAGACCCGAAGACCCTCCAGCAAAAATGACCCGAAGACCTCAACTCCTCCAAACCTCCAACTGCCTCCCCCGGCCACCAGGACATGTTCCAATGGTTTGACCGTTTGACCCCCCCATTGTTGGTCGGTACCTTTGCCCATCCCAAAAAGAGGGCTCCTCCCAGAGAAATATCGAAAAGCAAGTCACGATCAAATCCAAATATAAATGATTGGAACCCGATATTTGAGGCTGATTTGAATAGATTATTCGACCTGGGTTTTCTGGAGGCGTGTTTACAACTAGACCAAAGGATCACAATGGTTTATCCCCTCTAAGATCATGTAAGGCATGGTTCATGTAGTATCATGTAGTACAAATTATATCATGAACATAGCTCATACAGTAAAGGCAAGTTCAAATAATCATAACCTCATAGGTATTTCCGGTATTTCAATGTTGGTTGGCTGATTGAACCTCCCATTGCTGCTCCGTAACCTGGCATTTTTCTGGGTGAAGGTCCTGGTGGGTGTTTGCTTTTTGGCACCACAACTCAAATCCTCATTTTCTCCTAATAAAATCGCTATTGTTGGGGTGATATAAATGAAACCACCCACTCTTTGCGAGTGAAATCCTCCATTCTGGTGTGTTAAGATCCAATACATTGCCCATTAAACCCTATGTTTGGATGGTTAAACCGTATTTTTGATGGCTAAACCCTAGTTTTGATCATTAAACCACCATGTTTTGCTGATTAACGCATGAAATCAACCATGTGTTGTGGCTCACAGCCCATGTTTCCACCCAGACGCCGTACGTTCCACCAGCGCAAATCGCTGCTCGAGAACATCATGTCGCGCCTCTCCAGCAGCTGCAGCAACTTGTGGCAGATTTTGTGCGTGATGTCCTCGCACTGGAAATGGTGACTTGCTTTATCCCTACCCCCCTAAACTATGCATTGGGGGATAAAAGGGAGAAAGGATTATTCATTTTGCATTTGTATGTTTTTATAATTCTTTATATATACATTTCATTTGCAACGTACGTACGTATGTATCTATATCTATATCTATGTCTATGTCTATATCTATGTGTCTATGTATATCTATGTATATCTATGTATATCTATGTATGTCTATGTGTGTCTATGTATGTCTATGTATATCCATGTATATCTATGTATATCTATGCATATCTATGTATATCTATGCATATGTGTGTGTATGTATGTGTATCTATGTGTATCTATGTGTATGTCTGTGTATGTCTGTTTATGTGTCTGTATTTGTACGTATGTGTATGTATCTGTATGTATCTGTATGTATCTGTATGTATTTGTATTTATGTGTACGTATATGTATGTGTATATATAGATATATGTATATGTATATATGTATATGTATATATATGTGTGTATATGTATGTATATGTTTGTA